CTGTATTTACTGATGCTTTGGAAATCATGTAAAATAAGGTTAAAATCATAATTAAAAGTATTAGATATTAAATATCATAATGATATCTAAGATAATAACAAATAAAATGCTTCGCTGGGGCGCAGCTTGATACGACCGCAGAGGTCGAACCCTGAACAGTTGGGGCAAGTATGGACACAACATTCAAGCTTGATACAGCTCTGAATTTGGATTGTAATTAAATATTTGACACAGCATAGGTTTCTGACACAGAAAGAATGTGGTCTAAGAACTTGATTTTTTTAATTACCTATTATGGTCCAATGTCTACAATCAAAATACATGGTTAGATTCAGCATATCAAAGAACCCCATATATTCAATTTTTGTTAAAATCAAAAAAAGTTTAATTTTGGACCCCAACTTGGACAAACTTGAAAACTGGGCCCATAATCAAAAATCTAAACACATGTTTAGATTCAGCATATCAAAGAACCCCAAGAATTCAATTTTTGCTAAAATCAAACTAAGTTTAATTTTGGACCCTTTGGACCTTAATGTAGACCAATTTAAAAAAGGTGACTTAAAATTAAAAATCTAAATACACGGTTAGATTTGGAATATCAAAGAACCCCAATAATTCAATTTTTGATGAAATCAAACAAAGTTTAATTTTGGACCCGTTTGACCGCATGTATGAACCAATTTGATAGCGGGGCCCACAAATAAAAAATCTAAATTCATGGTTAGATTCAGCATATCAAAAAACCCCATATATTCAATTTTTGTTGAAATCAAAAAAAGTTTAAATTTGGACCCCAACTCGGACCAACTTGAAAACTGGGCCCATAATCAAAAATCTAAACACATGTTTAGATTCAGCATATCAAAGAACCCCAAGAATTCAAATTTTGTTAAAATCAAACTAAGTTTAATTTTGGACCCTTTGGACCTCAATGAAGACCAATTTAAAAAACAGGACCCAAATTAAAAATCTAAAAACACGGTTAGATTTGGCATATCAAAGAACCCCAATAATTCAATTTTTGATGAAATCAAACAAAGTTTAATTTTGGACCCTTTTGACCTCAATATGAACCAATTTGATAGCGGGGCCCACAAATAAAAAATCTAAATACATGGTTAGATTCAGCATATCAAAGAACCTCATATATTCAATTTTTGTTGAAATCAAACAAAATTTAATTTTGGACCCCAATTTGGACCAACTTGAAAACTGGGCCCATAATCAAAAATCTAAATACATGTTTAGATTCAGTATATCAAAGAACCCCATATAATCAATTTTTGTTGAAATCAAACAAAGTTTAAATATTGGACCCTATCTTGGACCAACTGAAATCTGGGCCCAGAATCAAAAATCTAAACACATGTTTAGATTCAGCATATCAAAGAACCCCAAGAATTCAAATTTTGTTAAAATCAAACTAAGTTTAATTTTAGACCCTTTGGACCTTAATGTAGACCAATTTAAAAAACAGGACCCAAAATTAAAAATCTAAATACACGGTTAGATTTGGAATATCAAAGAACCCCAATAATTCAATTTTAGATGAAATAAAACAAAGTTTAATTTTGGACCCTTTTGACCTCAATATGAACCAATTTGATAACGGGGTCCACAAATAAAAAATCTAAATACATGGTTAGATTCAGCATATCAAAGAACCCCATATATTCAATTTTTGTTGAAATCAAACAAAGTTTAATTTTGGACCCCAATTTGGACCAACTTGAAAACTGGGCCAAAAATCAAAAATCTAATAAATGTTTAGATTCAGCATATCAAAGAACCTCATCTATTCAATTTTTGCTAAAATCAAACAAAGTTTAAATTTTGGACCCTTTGGACCTTAATGTAGACCAATTTGAAAACTGGACCCAAAATTAAAAATCTAAATACACTGTTAGATTCGGCATAACAAATAAATAAATGTGATCAAAGATTTTACAAATCTAATGCGCCATACTGTGCAATTAAAGATTACTTCTTGAAATTTTTCAATATTTGAAATTTGAAAAATAAATAATATTTGAAGAATAATTCTTTTTAATTTCTGAAATCTGAAATGAGAAAAAATTGACCCCCCACAATTTCTTTTTATCCCCCCCCCTCCTTTTTTCCCCAAAAAAATTCTTTCCCTCAAGATATGGTCATAATCTCAATTCAAATTTCCAATGGAGTTGGCAACCATAATTACCCATTTAAATTTACCATAGTGCTAACTTAACCTATTTTATAATAGAATTAAAAATATAGTGTCATATCTTTCATATGGATTTTTTTGTAAAAAAAAAAGATGCAACATTTGCAGATATTTTTACTGGTCTTCCTTAATAAATATGCATTTCTTACAACATAATTTAAAAGCAGTGTAAGGGAAGTAACCAAAACGTTGTATTTGGATTACCTCCCTTACACTGTTTTAAATTATCTTTATTGTTCATTAACCATTACTTTATACATAATTTAAAAACAGTGTAAGGGAGATAATTTCAATGATGTATTTGATTTATCTCCCTTACACTGCTTTAAATTATGTTTTGTACTAAAGTATTTGTCCATTAACCAGGACAACCTTGTTTTTTCCCCTTTTTTGCCCCTAATTCATAAACGGTTTGAGCCATAACCCCCCCAAAGCAAATCCTAACCATCCCTTTGTGGTATGGAAACTTGTAGTATAATTGCAGAGAGATCCATACACCGTTCCACAGGTATTGTCTGGAAACTAAAAAATGCTTATTTTTGGCCCCTTTTTGGCCCCCAATTCCTTAACTGTTGGTACCATAACCCCCAAAATCAATCCCAACCTTCCTTTTGTGGTATTTAACCGTATGGTCAAATTTCAAAAAGATCCATTCACTTAAACTAAAGTTAGAGTGCCAAAACCAATGTGTCATCGGACGACGATGCCAGACAACGACGACGACGCCAACATCATACCAATATACGACCACAAAATTTTTTTGCGGTCATATAAAAACTGCAAAAATTTTGTAAAATTACTAACTCAGGGGCAGCAACCCAACAACGGGTTGACAGATTCGTCTGAAAATTTCAGGGCAGATAAATCTAAATCTGATGAACATTCTTGCCACCTGTCAGATTCGCTCTAAATGCTTTAGTTTCAGAGATATAAACCCAAAACTGCATTTTACCCCTATGTTCTATTTCTAACCAAGTCGGCCATGATGGTTGGAAGGCGGGGTCATCGGACAAATTTTTTAAACTAGATACCCTAATAATGATTATGGCCAAGTATGGTTAAATTTGTCTCAGTAGTTTCAGAGAAGAAGATTTTTGTAAAAGATTACAAAAATTTACAAAAAATTGTTAAAAATTGACTATTAAGGGCAATAACTCCTAAAGGGGTCGACTGACAATTTTGGTCATGACAACTTATTTGAAGTTCTTACTTTGCTAAACATTATTGCTGTTTACAGTTTATCTCTATCTATAATAATATTCAAGATAAAAACTGCAAAATTTCCTTAAATTTACCAATTCAGGGGCAGCAATCTAACAACAGGTTGTCAGATTTGTCTGAAAATTTCAGGGCAGATAAATCTAAATCTGATGAACATTTTTGCCACCTGTCAGATTTACTCTAAATGCTTTGGTTTCAGAGATATAAGCCAAAATCTACATTTTGGCCCTATATTCTATTTTTAGCCATGGCGGCCATCTTGGTTGGTTAGCGGGGTCATCGGACACATTTTTTTAAACTAGATACCCTAATGATGATTGTGGCCAAGTTTGGTTAAATTTGGCCCAGTGGTTTCAGAGGAGAAGATTTTTGTAAAAAGCTAACGACGACGGACGACGACGGACGACAGACGCCAAGTGATGAGAAAAGCTCACTTGGCCCTATTGGCCAGGTGAGCTAAAAAGTGATGACATTTATTATTGTCAGGAATTGACTGATAATGGCAGCAACATAAGAGGACAAGGAACATTTATCCAAGGAAGTACGAATTTAAAGAAGTCTGCTGTAGATGACCATGAAACCAGCAAAGGTCACCTCAAAGCTGTTGATATAAATTATATAAAAATAAGCGATAGATATAGAATAACTATTAAAAATAAATAAACATACGTTAAATTAGAAACAAAATTTCAAATCCATGTCAACACTTACTGTAGATTGTAACAGTCAGGTCACTAAATGTTATGTCTGCTTTTACTAGACTTATAATATATGCAACACTGTTAAGTCTACTTTTAGGAGATATTATTACAAAATTGTCTGATGCCATGTGTCTGCTTTTACGAGACACTGTAGTTCACAGATGGCCAATTTAAACTCAAAGGATTTATTTGTATATTGTTTACTTAAACTGGTGCAAAAACTGTATCTACATGTAAGTGATCATATTACTGTTTCAGGTAAGCTGATAGGTATAGCAAGTGATGGAATATTATATATTTGTTATATTTTTGCAAAAAATGTTCGGTCTGGTAAAAGTTCATTTGGTCCTGAAAAAAGTTGGTCATTACCTGACCAGTTGTCCTGAAAAAACTGAAAAACCTTTGGAAAGACTGAGAGGAGAAGATTCTTGAAATAGTTTACGACGACGACAAACGACGACAGACGACGGACGCCAAGTGATGGCATAGCCATAAGCTCACATAACCCTGCTCACATGGCCCTTTAAACCAGGTGAGCTAAAAATATGACAAACATCAGCGCCGCCTGGTGTCTAAAAACTCTTCAACTGTTCAATTTTAACAATTAACTTTCAAATTTTGTTTTGAAGAATATACTTTTACCTTGAAGAAAAGAAAATTACTCAGTGAAATGTTCAATTGAAAATTTCTTCTCAGTCCTTGTTCAGAACATTTCGCATTAATGCAAAGAAGAAGAGATATGAAACCCGGAAATATGTCCATCGACCTGTTGCTGCATGCGTTCAAAATGTAAAAAATATTTTTAAATAAGCTAAAATGAGTGTGTCATTTCTTCACATGAGTCAGATATAACAGAAATATTTAAAACTTACCCTTTAAAACCATTGACATGACGTCTTCTTGGTTAAAAAGAATTGTTTGTAGTTTGTCGACAGCAATCAAATGAATCTAATTCCGAGAGCAGGAAATTTGACAAAACGAGACGCTGAATAACGGGATAGGGACAAGTCGGACCAGGAAAACTCGGACCAGTTTTAAAGAAACTCGAAAGACAAATCGGACCAGTTTGAAACACTGATTGGGCCCATTTAAGGGCAAATCTAAACATTTACAAAGACAACTCTAATCAATGTGAAACACTGATTGGGCCCATTTAAGAACGCTTCTGAGTGGTTGATTCGGGGGAAAAGTAGAGGACGTACGACCCCCCGGTTTGATCGCCAAAAAAATAAATAAATAATTTTTCACGATGTATATAAATTTTTAGTCTAAAAACGTCCAATCATGTTTTTATCTAATTGTCTGAAAAACTGTTCCGAGTTGTCTTTAAATGATTTTCAATGTTTTATACTTAGTGTAAACATATTTTATTAATTAAATTCAAGTTAAATATGGAAACATGGAAAAAAGGCAAATGCGCATTAGGGGTACACACTTTCTTACCCATTGTTTTGGCTGTTCCTTATGGGATAGACTCTGCTTTAATATATAGATATTTGATTGTACTAAAACGGGGTAGTATCGAACTTCTGGGGTAAGCATTCTTAAAGGCCGAAACATTAAAAAAGACAAATTCTATAAAATACGTATTGGGGGGTATCCACTTTTCAACTCGTTGTTTCGGCCGTTCGTAATAACAAAGGATTTTATAGACTCTGTTTTAACGAATAGCTATTTGATAGTACTACAATGGTATAGTATCGAATTTCTGGGATGAGCATTTTTAAAGGCCGAAATATTTTGCCAGAAACATCGAAAAAAGCCAAATTCTAAAAAAAGAAAGCATTGGGGATCCCATCTTTCTAACCTATTGTCTCGGCCGTTCTTAGTGGCAAGACATTGAGTAATAAGTTATTGGTTGGTACTACAATGGGATTGTAAAGAATTTCTGGGGTAAGCATTCTATTCGTCCGAAACATTGAAAAAAGCCACATTTTGAAAAATACGCATTGGGGGTTCCCACTTTCGCACTCATTGCCTTGGCAGTTCTGAAGAGGTAGGGATTATAGACTCTACTTTAATGAATAGCTATTGGATAGTACTAAAACAGGATAGTAATAAATTTTTAGGGTAAGCATTCTTTAAGGCCGAAAAATTTCGTCCGAAACATTAAAAAAGTCAAATTCTATGAAATATGCAATTAGGGTACCCACTTTCCAACTAATTTTCTCGTTAGTTCTTTATGGCTAGGGATTATAGACTGCCTTAACGAATAGCTATTGGATAGTACTAAAATGGGATATATTGAATTTCTGTGGTAAGTATTCTAAAAGGTCAAAATATTTCGTCCGAAACATTGAAAAAGCCAAATTCTATAAAATTACGCATTTGGGGTACCCACTTTCCAACTCATTGTCGTTCTTTATGGTAAGTGATTATTACCATGCTTGAAAAATAGCTATTAGATTGTACTACAACGTTATTGTAAAGTATTTCTGAGGTAAGAATGTTTAAAGGCCGAAAAATTTCGTCCGAAACATTGAAAAAAGACGGATTGAGAGTACCCACTTTTCAACTCATTGTTTCAGCAGTTCTTTATGGCTAGGGATTATAGATTCTGGTTCATGAATGGCTTTTGGATAGCACTAAAATGGGATAGTAAAGAATTTCTTTGGTTAGCATTCTTACAGGCCAAAAACATTGAAAAAGTAAAATTCTATAAAATACGTATTGGGGGTACACACTTTTCAATTCATGCTCTTTCTATGTACCGTTAATGTAAGGGTGCACTCTTAAAAGTCAGCTCTGGTAAGTTTATAGCTTGACATATATATATATATATATATATTGTATACATTTGTCTTTCGTCGAAGACTGTATGTTGCCCTTTAGATCTTATTCATTCTTTAACTAAATGTGTTATAAAAGTTTATCAATTCAACACTATAATAAGAGCTTTGGATATTGTTTTCTAGAAACACACACTTTGGTTTTGCTATCAATTATAGAGTAAAACTTAACTACAATATGTATTGTTATACAGTTATAAACATTATATAAATAACACATATCTGAGAGGGTGATAGAGCAGATTGTTACCCCGAGAAAACATTGTCAACTGAGGTAAAACTTAACTACAATATGTATTGTTATACAGTTAAAAACACTATATAAATAACACATAGCTGAGAGGGTGATAGAGCAGATTGTTACCCCGAGAAAACATTGTAAACTGAGGTAAAACTTAACTACAATATGTATTGCTATACAGTTATAAACACTATATAAATAACACATAGCTGAGAGGGTGATAGAGCAGATTGTTACCCCGAGAAAACATTGTAAACTGAGGCGAAGCCAAGGTTGACAATGTCTTTTCGAGGGGTAACAATCTGCTCTATCACCCTCTCAGATATGTGTTATTTAATTTATTATACTGAATGTTCTGTTATTACTGTCTATTAAATTTCAAATTCAAAGTATTAACCTATGACGTCTTGCACATAACAACCATCCGTATTTAATAAAGCTCACACTTGATCAAGCGTCTCCGTGAAGGGTAATATAGGGTATTTACCATAGGATAGAGTAAATTGTCTCCCTCGTATTAACCAATCAAAATCTGGTATTTTGAAATGAAGTATAATAATTACAGTTCTTCATCCTGTCGATACTTATATCTAGGCATTCGGTCCCTGGTGGAGAGTTGTCTCATAGACAATTATACCACATCTTCTTATTCTTATTGCACAAGGTCATGTTTTTTCTAGACTTTTTATGACGTCTTCACAACAAATCCATTTGAAGTTAACTGATTAATATTTTGTCTTTGGTTTTGAACTAACATTCAGTAACTTAGCTGCGGAACCGTAACTCTCATGGTCCTTATAATATTTTTTGACAATTTTCAGACCATGGTTCCGCAGCTATTAATAACTGGGCATACTTTTAGATCGGTACGTTGTGTCTTAAGTTTATTTATAGGAACGCAAACATTTTATGGGGTTAACTTCTATGGATCTCTATAAAATTGTACTTTAAGGTTCCATATCACAAATAGAAGGTTGGGATCGATTTTGAGGGGTTATCGTCCTAACTGGTTAGAAATTAGGAACCAAAACAACCATTTCTCTTGTTCCAGGACAATAACTTGTGTATAAGTGTATCAATATCTATGAAATTGGACCACAAGTTTCCATACCTCAAAAAGAAGGTTTGGGATTGATTTTATGGGTTATGGCCCAATCCGTTTAGAAATAAGGGGCAAAACAATAAAAAGATTTTCTGGTTTCCAGACAATAACTTGAGTACAGCAAGTCTATGAAAATCTATGAAATTGTACCACAAGGTTCCATTAAAAAAAAGGAAGGTTGGGATTGATTATGAGGGTTATGGCCCTAACCGTTTCGGGAAAAGGGGCCAAAAACAATACGTTTCTAATACTTTGTATACATTGATTATTTCTTGACCAATTTCAATGGGGTTTAATTCAAAGTCTTCAATTCTAGGGGTTCTTTAAATATGCTGAATCTAACTGTGCATTTAGATTTTGGATCTCGTTTTTAAATTGGTCCACATTGAGGTCCAATATCAAACTTTGTTTGATTTCATTAAAAATTGAATTATTGGGATTCTTTGATATGCCAAAATCCGCTAACAGTGTAGTTTTCAACTGGGGCGTTGTTTTCAAATTGGTCCAAAATCAAAAACTTATAAAATAAGGAAAAATAGTTTTGATTTTAACAAAAATTAATTTCTTTGGGTTCTTTGAAATGCTGAATCTCAACATGTATTTAGATTTTAATTTTGGACCCAGTTTTCAAGTTGGTCCATATAGACACACATAGGTTCAAAATTAAACTTTGTTTGATTTCATCAAAAATTGAACTCTTTGGGTTCTATGATATGCTGAGTCTTACCATGTATATAGATTTTGGATATTGGACCATACTAGGTAAATTCCCTATTTCCAATTTTTAAGTTATTAGAACACATGCATTCTAAGTCAAAAACCTATGCTGTGTCAAATATTTAATCACAATCCAAATTCAGAACTGTATCAAGCTTAAATGTTGTGTCCATACTTGCCCCTACTGTTCAGGGTTTGACCTCTGCGGTCATATCAAATTGCACCCAACATTTTGAATGTGTATGTCCCAAGTCAGGAGCCTGTAATTCAGTGGTTTTCGTTTTTCTAGCTGTATATCATATTTCTGTTTGTTTGTTATTTTGTACATAAATCAGGCAGTTAGTTTTCTCGTTTGAATTGTTTTACATGTTGTCATGTCAGGGCATTAATTTTATAGTTTGCTATCCGGTATGGGGTTTGCTCATTGTTGAAGACTGTACGTTGATCTTTATTGCCAACATTTCCATCATTTGGTCTTTGTTGGAAAGTCGTCTCCTTGGCAATTATACCACATCTTATACTTGTTTGCCTTTCTTACGATTTTGATCTGAGCGTCACTGATGAGTCTTATGTAGACGAAACGCGCGTCTGGCGTATCAAATTATAAGCCTGATACCTTTGATAACTACTTATTATTTTTATATTCTAATTCTAATGTTTGGAAAAATTATATTAACTGTAAACACAAAGATATGTCTCGCTTTTTTGTAATTTTGATAACGCAAATGTTGAAATTAAAATAGTAATACTTTTACATGTAAGTTATGCAAGTATTCAAAGTCAATGAACCATGACTGAAGGTACAATGGCTAATCAATTTCCATGTAAATGAGATGTGCCAATGCTGATACAAATCCATACCAAATACCATTGACCTATCATAAGTTGTCCCCTTTTTACAAACCAATACACGAACATTAACTTGTAAATGATGTAAAAGTTTCAAAGTCAATGAACCATGATGAGGGGTGGGGCTATACAGTCTCCATGGAAAAGAGACTTGCAAATGCCAATACATTAGCATACCAAATACATGTATTATGATAATCAGAAAATCTTTAAAGTATGGAAGAAAGTTACGTTTAACATTTTCAGCGATTTGTAATAAATGCATATATACTGCAGTGTAAAAACGCATCTGATCAAGCA